AGAAGAAATATTAGAAAGAAAAAGAAGAACAAAAAGAATAAAGGAAAAATGAGAGAGAAAGGAGGAGATAAGAAGAAGACAAACAAAGAGAGAGAGATGTGAGATGAAGAAGAGTGAAAGAGAGAGATTACCTTGTGTGTGTATGAGGGAGAGAGAGTGACGTGAGATGAGTTGGAGAGAAAGGGAGAGGAGAGAGAGGAAGAAGACAAAATAGAGAAGAAGAATAAGAAAAGAAAGTGACGGCAATTAGGGTTGGAGGAAGAAAAAAAATGATATATTTAAAAAAAATTGTAGTCCAATCCTTTAATTTTCAAAACTTTTCAATTTCATCCTAAACTTTTATTTAGCGATAAAAAAAATCTTTGTAAAATAAATATATTTTCTCTAAACTTTTAAATTGATAAATTCATCCATAATTAATTTTCCTAACAAAAATCAGATCGTTATATTGGCTATAATATAATTTGTAATTAGATAATTTGCTTGTAACTCTTGTAAAGCAAATATATATTAAATCTAAAGCAATCATAACGAAAAAAGTTTAAACAGATATCTTTAATCGATTATCTATACCGATTATTCCAATCAATATTTTAGATTTTTTCATAATTTATATTAATATCTAATCATAATTTAATAAATTATCATTAGTTGGTTTTTACTACAATATTTCAAACCTTATTGTTAATATATATATATATATATATATATATATAGTGTCGATATGAGATTCTTCAGCCAACATATTTCATAAATTGTAGATTGAAGTAACTTTTTAATGTTTTTCGGATAGAACTATGGCTTTGAGTTTAGAGTCTATTTACAATACGACCTTTTCGTAGGTAAGTTCTTTCTTCAGCCTGTCATCTCTTAAAATTTAGTTGCAAATAGATCAGATTAAGAGCAATTTCTTCAATGTATGATGATGAGAGAATCACTGAAATAGTGAAAGAAGATCCTCCTTACCTTTGGTTCCAAAATTTTGTGATTCCAAGCTTCATCTGAATTTGATGTGGTTCCGCCGATCTGTTCGCTTTGGACAGTTCTCCATGTCTAAAGTCGAGGATTGCAACCCTTAGATTCCATGACATGAAAAAGCTTCAAACATAAATGTGAATAACCCGTCCCCCAATACCATCCAAACATTCTCAATCGTCGTTCTGATTTTCCACCTTACAATCTTTGATTATATGCACAACAAGAAGAAATTGAATCTTACCAAATGAAATTAATTGGCTGAACATGTTCATACACGAAATTAGAAACACTCCATGTTTTTGCTTGTATCGTATATGCGTGGATAGGTCTGTTGTGGAATGAAAATGGGAAAAAGGGAAGGACCTTTTCGTCCATGTATTGGCATTTGAAGGTGACGTAACAATCGGGGCCGAAGCAAGAGTGCTTGAAGACCTTCAGACGGTCACTCGGTGCGAGATTTGCTTCCAGGTCTACAGAATATCCGATGCTCGACGACATTGATCCTCTTGTTCTTCCCTCCATTTCGACCAATCAGTCCCAACCCCATACACGAACACAAAATTAAAACCCAAGAATATATATGTTTTCACAGACACCAGCAAGAACATGGAAGAGATGAGGTCAAAATTATTAATAGAAGAAACGACAACAGTGGAAGGTTCGCATTCAACAAAGGAAGAGACAGAAAAACACAATAGAGAGTCAATTGGAGAAACCCACAATGCATGTTTGATGTTCCTTTACAGGTGGATACTAAGTATGGGACTAAGTATGTTTATAATCACTTATGTGTAAGTTATTTTATACATGTTGCAATTGTATATATGCACGTGAAGTGAGAGACAATAAAGTGTGAGAATATTCAGAAATCACTTCAAAGTGTAAGGATATCATCAAAAAGGGATTACCTATAGATTTGGGGATCAAAGAAAAGGAAAACTGTCAAGAAAGTGAAGGAACCTGGAAATTTTAGGTTGGAGAAGAATGGATTGAATCGATTTCTCTGCAAATGTTAACCTAAGTTCTAATTTTCATAAGGCACCCAAATATGTAGTTTCCACTGATGAAGCAAAGACTTAGATGACGACCAAAAGTTATGTTCGAATAGTTATAGCCAAAAGAATGGTATGATTATGTTCCTTGCAACCATGTTGGCTGTTAATGGTTAATAGAATTTACATGTAGAGAAAATAGGGTTTTAGAAAGAGGGGTTTACTACTAGCTACAGTTTTCGTAATGGAAAATATGGATTTTACTTCACGGCATAGACGATCAAGGTCCCGTCGTTGGCGGCCTCTACGAGAGTGTAGTCGCGCCATTTGGATTCCGATGAGGAAGAAGAACCTATGTTTGGAAAGGGGAATAAGGGTGTTTATGCAGAAAATAAGAAAACTTTGAGGAAAACGACGAGAGCAAGGAGGAGAAGGAGACCGATATGGCTGAGGAGAGAGGTGGGTCGGTGAGAGATTGCAGAAGAAGAGAAAGCGAAGAAGAGAATGAGTTTCAGAAAATGTTCTGAATCGATCATTGTGCGGGATCTTTTTTTTCTCTGGTGTGAGATCTTATTCTTTAATTCATAAGAATCTGGAAATCTGGTTTGATATCATAAACATGGATATATAGAAGTAAAAGAATGTACAAATCTGAGGGAAAAAAAAGAAAGTGAGAGAAATCAATGTGAAACAAATTCCATTGATCCGAAAAAATCTTATAAAACATTACTAAAAAATCACACAAACCATTACAAAAAAAAAAGATAAAATCATTATGAATGATATTTTAAATCATTAATAAAAAATAATATTTACAACTCTTGAGCTAAACGGGCCGGCTCGCGGGCTGACCCAGCTCGAATAAGTCCGGCTCGTCACGAGCCCACAATATTCTGGCTCAGACCAGACCGGACCATTTGTAACGAACTCAAAAATGCCTGGTCCAGCTCGACACTAAACGGTCTGGTTTAAGGCCGGCTCGCGAGCCGGCAGCCCATTTAACATCCCTAGTTGACACTACAAGACGTGAGAAACAGAATTTGGAGAACATCGGCGAGAGAGAACATTTCTCAACAACACATCACTTTGCTTCCGAACTCCCCCACCTCCCATCATCTCATGTTTCTTCATTACGGTCGGAGCCTTTCATAATTAATTAATTATATATATACTATTATAATTATAATATATATAAATAATAATATTCTAATCTCTGCCTTTATTTATTTATTATAAAAAAAAAGTACGCCCATAGTTGTTTATTATCTCCCCTTATCCTTCTCTCTCTCTCTCTCTCTCTCTCTCTCTCTCTCTCTCTCTCTCTCTAAATAATTTTCTTTCTACCTTGATCTTCCCTCGAGGGTGGATTTTCTTATTTATGTTCCTCGATATTTTTTTTTTACGATTTTTCTAACGATGGAGAACTAAATTGAGTGTCTAATCCGATAGAAATATGCCCTAACCGATGTTCCTTATCCTTCTCTCTCTCTCTCTCTCTCTCTCTCTCTCTCTCTCTCTCTCTCTCTAAATAATTTTCTTTCTACCTTGATCTTCCCTCGAGGGTGGATTTTCTTATTTATGTTCCTCGATATTTTTTTTTTACGATTTTTCTAACGATGGAGAACTAAATTGAGTGTCTAATCCGATAGAAATATGCCCTAACCGATGTTTTATTGTTGTAAGGTGATGTGTTGAATAAATGTAACCTCGGCAATGTAATGAATATTTGAATCATTGCTCTTGCTATTAGGCCGATTTCTTTTTACATGTTATTGTCGTTTTCTTATTCAATTTCTATTTTGTTTTGTTTTTTTTTTTTAATTGAGCCATTGAGTCTCTGTCGGGTCTGAGCCTATGAATTACAATATTTAGCCCATTTAAGAAAATGGGCCGAAATCGGCCCATCAGAATTCAACTTTATCCGAATAAACTTTAAAAGGGTTTTTTTTTTGGAGAGTTTGATTTTCCTCTTGTATAAATTCCATAAAAAAATACATGAATAAGTAAATATATATATATATATATATATATGAAGTATTTGTTTGATATATATCAACATTGCGACTGTGAATCGAGAAAATAAAATCTGGTTGCGAGATCCATATCTATATAAGTATTAAGAATTCAATGGAAGGATTTCATACATGCACTTTTTTTTGGTTAATGAAAGTTTTTTTTTATAACGGAGGATCTCTAGCTGCTATTCTTCGGGCGCGCTGACTAGCTAAACCTCCGGCACGGGAGCAACCTTTGTATATGGATCATATAAACCTAGAAATTACCTCCCTCTCCACCAGTTAGGAATCGAACACTCAACTTAAAGGTGGAGTTACTTCTTATCCCAAGTTTGATCACTCGCCTACGATCTGTAGGGTTTGGTTAATGAAAGTAGGACCGACCAAAGTATATATATAATATATGTTGTTATATCAAACTACAAAACACACACTAGAGATCATGTATGAAGAGGCCCTTGACATCTGTCGTTTATAGATTGGGCCAAGCTAATAATCAATTCACAAGTTAAATGGGCCTAGATGTGATTGTAATCGCCATGAAATAGTCCAATGAGGAATGCGGGTTTGACTGAAAACTCGAAAAACAGACTCCATATTACCTCGGTGGGTCTTTGATCTCAGGCGACAGAAGACCCATCTGTTCGGTCAGCTTGTCCATAACTTCGGCTCTGTCCCACCCCTTCTCGGCCTCCTTGTTCTCAATTCTAAAATATTAGGTTTCATTTTTATTTTTTTCTTTCTGGAATTACCTTTTTATTAAATTGCTAACTAAACATACTTTCTGTATAAATTCGAACACAAGAATATCTATATAATCGATATTTGTATTATCTTCATGGAAAAATCCACAGATATATACATCAAAATGCATATAATAGGAAATTGATGACATAATTATAAATGATGTTTCATGGTATAAACAACAACCTGATTAAAAACATGACAAAATCTGTTAAAATACATGGGAAATGCAGTTAAATCACATCATACAGATTTTGATTATTCCATGTAATTTAAACTCCATATTCTGGTCAAAGTGCAAGTGTAACACCAATGTTAGAAGAGAGAATATCTTTCTCAACCCTCAGTGAATCTGTGGCCACAGTTTGGGCAAGTATAGTACGTGGTCTGCCCTTCGTCCGCCGATCTTGTCTGCATTCCACAAATTTAGAGGAAGGCTGTTGTGAAACCTCAAAAGCAAAACAACAATTCAAACACGGGTTTGAGGACAAAGAAAAAGCCGAGGGTACCTGTCTGGTTGTGTACACGAGTTCCGGGTGCCCACATTTTTCGCATGTCTTCTTGATCTGCAAAACAGAGAACAGAGAACAACTGATTAATCAAACGAGAACACACGATACATCATAGTCTAGGATGGATATCATTGTTCAAGTTTCAACCTTTGGCAGTTCACTCTCGGCTTGTGCGAGTCCTTCATCAAACAGTGATATGCCCAATTCTCTCCGGATATCCTGCACATGGAAATCATTCGAGTTCCTATAAGGTCCTTCTAGCAACCGACTAAGCTCAGCGAAAAGGTTTTATGAATATAACTATCAGGGTTTTGATCTCAGATCTAGAACAAAAATAATGACAGAACAATGTCCATTACCGGCATGAGAATGATACCCCTAAACCCTAAACCCTAAACCCTATAGGCATTTGCAAACAAATCACAGAACAGATGGTCAAAGAAAAGTTACCTCAGCACTAACTGAGTAAGATATTTCTTTGCCGATGATCTCTGAAAACAATGAAAAGCTTATAATCGATCAAGCCCAGACAAACTTGGCATTGCCAAATACGTATAAACACCAAACAATCTCTACGAATTTGTAAATTTTCTACCTCTTGCGTCTCGCTTGGACAAGCAAAGAGGACATTCCGCGTATTTGGGCGATTTCAAAATCAGCATCGTCCCGCACAAGTTGCAGAATAAGAAACCGCTTTCCAGAGATTTCACCATCAGAGAACCTTCGACCAAAGACAAACCAAACGTATCTACAGATTTCAAATCCTTACAGAAACAAAACTAATAGATACACGAACTCGGTCGGAAGATCATTCGTAGATATCGAAACCGTGTCTAATTTTATACTCATTCGTAGGAATAAATTTTTATTTTTTGTAAATTTTTATTTTTTTTTTCATCCCCCCCCCAGCCACAAACTTCTGTTTAACCCAATTTCATCCAACATTTTAAATATTCTGTTTTAAATAAGACATGTCTAAGAGTTTTAGTGAGTTAAAAATTAAAAAAATACACATTATCTTAAAAAAATAATTTTACACTATGCATATCTTTACCATCCATAAAATTATTTAGGTTAGACTAAACATTAAAATTTTAAAGATATAAACTGTAAATCAAATAATAATAATAATAACCAGATTCACATCAGAAGTTGTAACATCTTACCCCAAAAAAACAAATTTTAAAGATATAAACTATAAATCAAATAATAATAATAATTGGTTTATCAGAATGGGAACGCACCTTGTTCTTACGATTGGACGACTTGCTGTCTCCGTCGGCTCTCGTCCG